TCAGTATACAGTCAAGTAAAATGAGCATCCCCACAAGGCCAAAAAACAAGTATGTTGGAAGTTACCATACCTTGATTCTTTTTAACCAGTCAATCTCATTGTTGAGTAGAACTTCTGCATTAGGGAGGTTAATGTTGCTATTATAAGCGTAGTTGAGCAAGTGCCTCAAGAGAGTGAAGTAATCACCAGCGTGCTTGGCTCGTTCTTTTGCAGTGCTCTAGAAATAAAACAAGCAAAAAACAAAAAGGACATTCATTAACAACAAAAGCCTTTTCCTAAGGTTATTTAAAACACAATTAAGAAGAGCTATTAAATGAAAAGCACTAAACACTTACACCTAAAACTGTGAAGAGGAGGGTGATGAAGAACAGGAGTGGCCTGTGTCCCATGCAACACCTCGTGGCCATGAGGAAGAACTGTTCTTGTGCCATTTGACGAACAGACCTGAAAGCAGAATATAAAAAAGTCCCCATGACACAAGTCATCACCTTGAGCAAACAAAGAAAACCTACTGAGTTTTGAAAGCTTACTAAATGAATAACATGCTACTCACTTGCTCTGGCAGTGCAGTAGGAGGTCAATGATGAAGGTCTGCCAGGCCTTCTCTTTGCTAAGTGCATCTAGTGCAGTGGGGATAAGGGCGAAGCATAGGGTCATGACCTCCAAGGCCTCGCAGCATACCTGTTCATCTTCTGCATCTGGCTCATTCCCTGCATTAGTCTAAGAAAAAACATACAGAACACAGAAATATAAAAACTTTAGAGCACCTGAATACATACTGCATTTTAAATCCACATCATTTAACAGAATTAAGAACACCAAACAGCCATGCTGTCCCACATTTTTTCTCCCTCTACAGAAGGGAAACAGCAGAACCATTGCCATGTGACTATAAGAAGCTCCTTTCCTTTTTTTTCCTTTTCAAGACTTTCAGCAACTAAACAGAGGACTAAACAGCGTTATGATTTTTTTTAATTTTGTTAAAACCAGACAAGTACACAGATCTGGCACCTTCTCATAGATCTTGCTGATCTCCTCGTTGGAACTAAAGACAAGCTGAATAGTGCCACAACCAGATGCCCAAACAATCTTCTGGATAGCTCTGATGACACCGATGTCTGGGATGTACTTCGAAGCCTGGAAAAAGTTCTGAGTGAAAATAGACAGAAACAAAAAATGTGATAAGTCAAGTTACTCAACATTTTAATTTTGTTATCAGTAAGGCTGATGTAAGTATCAGTAAGACTTTTTGAAGAGCTAAGAAAGGGAGTGGTAGTTGGTCAACAAAGATAAAGGCCACATGGGAAAGTCAAGCCTGATAAAACTACAATGACAAATAGAAGCAGGCACACTTATTACCTGAAAAGTGGACAATAATGAATAGAAGCACACACTAGCTGCTCAGAAGAAAAAAAAGAAACACAATCGTTTCTCAATTTATTTTACGCTTAGGGTTGGTTAAGCTTTGCTTGCATTTTTTTTTTTCCTTTTACTAATCAGTTGACCATGCATACATGTATGTATATTATGGCTGTCAAATGACTAAAATAATTAATCAAGATTAATCACATTGTTCACTAATTGTGTTTGTCCAGATGTGACCCTAAAGCATTATCTTTTACCATTTAAAAAGCAGTGCTTTTTGTATCTGAGTGGACAAAATAATCTGTATCAGAATGTATTTTTCCACTTTCAGTAGTTCAGTAAGATTATGTTCATAATGTGAACGCAGGAACATAAAAATAGAGTGAAAACAGTTCCCAATTTTCATCACTGACATCCAGCGACAGCAATAGTGGCTGCATGTTCCAATCCTGCATACCTCATTGTTTCGTCTTGCTTCACTGGGAACTGTATTGCTTTAGTCAGTTTACTACTTGTTGAATTATTCATTGGTCTCACACAAGCACAGTCCAGCACATTTGCTGAAATACTGATATTGCTGGCATCAGCAGTGTTTGCTTGTAAATAATACTTCAGACTCAATGTTCTTCTTTAGTGTTTTTGTTTTTTCAAAGAAAGCAATCAATGCAAATTTATTTGTTTAAAAGTTGTATTTAAATGGGAGAACTACAAGATTCAATCACAGCAACAAACAATGTGTAAGCAGCTGTGCTTTAGGGTGGAACCATGATGATTTGAAAAGTCAAACTATAAAAAATATCTTTGGTGTCAATCATTTATCATGTTAACCTGGACACCACTAATGTATTTATATGAGATGGCATACTAGTATTGATGGGTATCAGGCTAATACAAAAAAGGTGACATACCATTTCTAGTATACACACACACACACACACACACACACACACACTTCATTTGTAATTATTTGTTTCCACATTCACTATGTAACCACCTAAAAGAATGACTCCTATTTTTTTTACTGTAAATTGCTGTGCTTGGGCTTTATGTTGTTGCGGATAACATACAGAAAAAGACACAGAGCATGCAAGGATGAAGACAAAGCCTCCAGGAATGTGAAGGGAGAATGGCCTCTAATCAGACACCTGTTATTTCAGGCTAGTAAAGCAGTTTGGGTGGAGACAAGGATAACTGTGTGTTCTCTACCTCAAGGTCCCTGAAGCCTGAGAGTCTGAACATTAAGACCCCTGCCTAGCATCCGATTCAAAGTATTAAGATGCCCTCTGCTGTCCAAACATGGTTAAAACAAACTGAAACCTGAGAGAAAGAACATGATCCTTGTACCTGCTCACACTCATGATTAACATATACTACTCTTTCTGGACCACCTTCCCTGGCACTTTAGTAAACTTCATTTACTGCTCAAATTTTTGCTATAAACATGCCAAACAGCAAGAGAGTCTCATTCATCAAGGCATTGAGAAGCAGATAAGTCAATGAGGAACGCTATAACTAACTAAAGTCAGTTGAAACCAGGAACACAAGCAAATCCACATCTGACGATTACTGATTAATGCTACAAAGCCATGACATTAGTAAATAAGACATGACAATTATATAAAGTATTATTAGAAATATAGTATCCAGAGCAATTAACATGGTAGATGGATCTTTTTAAGAGTCTTGCCCAAGGATTCTTCTTTGTATTGCATTGGTGTTCCTGTCTGGATAGGGAATCATACCTCTAATCTTGACTGTCCCTGTATTAATCGAGTGTTAACCACTAAGCTCCTTTTGACTGAGCTGAAAAGAATGGAAGTGCCCAGCACTAGTTACTATGCAAGTACACTACTCTGGATAAAACACAGGACATTTATTTATCAGTGGTAATTATTGACTACAAATCCAACATTGGATTGATGCTTTCCCCATTTAATAACAAAGAATTTAATCAGCAGCTGACATCAGTTGGGCAGAGAGAAGTCATATCCTCCTTTTCACACTAATAAGAGCAGGCATTAAAGTCACACTTTGATAGCAGAGAGATGTGCTTAAAGATACTTGTCTTTTATTTAGTTTATCAGTGCATTTCTATTAGCAAGGAATTAGTAGAAGAATTCAGCGTAGTAGAGAAAAGATCTAAGGGGTTGTTTAGCCCTCAAAGGCAAATCATATTTTCCCCTTGCCTGAATATCATTACTTCAGAGATAATCACTTACAAATCTTTTGTCCTGATGCAAATTCAATTTAAAACAATGAAGCAAGCATTCATTACCATTTCCTCCCAGCATATTAGTGACAGACAATTGTGTTGAAGTTTGCCTGTTCTCTAACAGAGCCTAAGGCCCAAAACATACTTCATGCAAGGACGCGGACGGAAATGACAGCGCTCGTTCAATGCACTGCAAACTCTCAGTCCTTCTGTACAAACTCACCGTGCGTTATTATGTTGCTGTGGCAGTTAAAAAACACTCAGTACTGAAGGGGGCGATAGAGGGCAAACTGGAGAGTGATCGAGTTATTCCAGCAGCCTCAACAGCTAAATGTGGACAGTACAGGAGAGTGAGCTGCTTTACCTCTTGAAATGGAAATGCAATAATGTATGATATTTTTATGTTTATGTAAGCCAACTTTGCGTGATACTCAACTGCTCATCTGCTATGGCAGTTGAGAAAGGACACTAGTGGGGCGAGACTGCTTGGTCAGCCCTTGCTGTAACGCTCTGATTGCTCATGCTTGCACTGTGTTCTGAATTGCGTTGTGACACATTTTTCAATGCAACTACACGCAAAACCCTGTATGCGTAGCTCGAGCGTCTGCGTTTGCAGCCTTGTGTGAAGTATGTTTCAGGCCTAATTCAGATCTTCTCGCTCATACCTCATCAGAGATCTGCTGGGCCAGGCGAATGGCCACGTTGCGGAGCATGCACTCAGCGGAGGGATTGGGGATGTTCTGCAGGGCGCTCTGAAGCACTAGGGCCTGGTCATGAGTGGCCTGGTTTATCTATGGAGAGTGAGAGAGAGAGACAAAGAGACACCACACTATTAGATTAATGGATTTTGAAGAGACACAATCGACTGAAAGATGGTTCTTTCTCCTCTTCCATGAGAAACTAATTTGCTGGAAAATTTAATGAGAAAAAAGTGGAAGAATCCTGGCTACACCCTTGACTCACTGTGGTTCCATAAGGAATTCTCAATAATATCCTGAATATTCATAAAATAAGAACTCTTTATTTCACAGCAGTCAGTCTCTCAGAGTGAAATGACTCTTTCCATGCTTGTAAGAACTACGAACTGAACGCTTAAGAAGTAGAAGTGCTTCTGGGTCTGTAACCAAAGCACACTTCCTCTCAAGACAACATATACCCTTGACATTTACTGAGCCACAGAGGGGCAGTCAGGATGCTCTAAATGTGACTGGAAGTGCTGGGTGGGGGGGTGGATAAGGAGTCCTTAAGGCAGTCTATAGACAAAGGTCAGACTCTCTGACAGCTCCTCTGCACTATAGCTGGAAACACGAAGCACTAGTGCTTCTCTACACATTCAGCTCCTTGACTGAAAAGAAACGACAAAACTAGTCTTTTTATTACATGTTGGCTATGCTGCAAGTCTTCATGTCACCACAACTAAAGGAAACTGCATGACTGAAACACTGGAAACTTACAGGTGACACGGGGATGGTACCCTCAGCTGTGGGCTGGCAGGCTTCAGCCACAGCCTTCACGTGGCCAAAGCCCACCGCTGTCAGCAGTAGCTTGGCTATTTTTAGAGCGTTGAGATAGGCTCCCCGTCGCGTCTCCATGTCAGCATTTGGAAGGAAATTATTTCGGGTCAGCATGCTCAAGACTAGCGGCAGGCCACCGCTCTTCAAGAAGTTGTACTGGAAGTCACTAGCATCCTCTCCCAGCGTACCACTAGCAGGCATTAGCAAGGCATAGACCACCTGAGACAAGAGACAGAATCATACTTGCATTTCAACGCTGACTTTTGCTTTTCACTTTTTCTTCCCAACACAAATGAACAGGACATCCAATTTATGTACTTCGGCACTTACATAAAAATAAAATATATAAAAGGTATAACAGACAAACCTCTATCAAGTAAAGTACTTGAGAAGGCGATGGGCCAAAGAAGCGGGAGTCGAGGGTGGGGCTAAGGCTGTTTTCTCCGAGTTTGGCATGATCCAGGCAGATGGCTCGCAGGTTTTCCACTGTAGTGTTATCTGGAAATGAACAACAGTACAGTATGAATGGCGCAATTCTAAATGCAAATAGCACTCTAGTTCAGCAGGGCCAAACGTGGTCTCGCAACAAGAATACATGCCTGGGGACAAGTTGTTAAACTTTTAAATCCACCGCTAGCAAGGGTACACTCCTTCTAAAGCCTGCGCTAAATTCCTCTAGTTTGTGCACATTTAATGTTTGGTGTAATCAATAACAAAAGAAAAACAACCTAGCTAGCAAAATGTCATCATTTGTGGGTCTACACTTTCATTTTCAATTAGCCAAAAAATTAGTAATGGGTATCCAGACGTTCTCATTACAAGATCATATCTGCCCTGCAAGACTAACAGCAGTCAAGAGCATGAGAGACTTGTCGCACACCTGGAGGCATAAGCTTCATGAGGACTCTAGCTCCATCACGTAGCAGAGGCATGTTGAGATTACAGCCCAGATCTGCTACTTGCCACAAGAACGAGATGTAGCGCAGGTGTAGTGACATTATCTGCAAAACATGAAATATGGCAAGGAATAATGAACACTCGCAATGACTCGCTTCAAGCTCTAAAATGGTTGTCTCAGTGATTTAACACAGACAGATACTTTATCAGATACAGCTAGAAATGTTGTGCAGAACCATTTTCAAAATCCTAGATTGAAAAGTGAGCAAGAGTACTGAAAACATACTGTGTGATTTTGATTAACAGAATGTTATGTTCCTCACCACTCCAGGAAGACAGCTCTCCACTTCAGGGTTTGGCCCATCACTATAGTGGTTGCCATGGTTCCCGGGGGAGCCTGTGGAAGAGTCTGATGAGCTGTCTGGGCTTGAAGGCATATTGGCGCTGACCTGGGTGAGCTTGGCTGTGATGAGCTGAGGAAGAAATGATAGAAAATACAAAGAGCACAGAAGCAAAACAAAATAAACAGAGTGCCATTACTCTATGCCATTAACCTTCTGATATCTCAGAGCCGTGCAGCATTTTACAGCACGGTGTAACTAGAAACTACAACACCATATGATAAAGAAAGGAAGAAAAGTAAGAACGGTAGATTTTTACCGTTTTGTCTTTAAGATTTAGCTGCCCAATCAACTTCCTATCATCGGCAGGATCTACAATATCCCCGCCAATGAAGAGCTCGATCTTCGTGTGTGCACTGTTTGCCTTTATCCGGTTGAGAATACAGCGCCGCACAGAACCAATCGTATCATTGGTGTGGGACCAGATGTCCAGGTCATCCACTTGCCGACCTTGGTTAGGGAATCGCACAATCAGGGTGATGTGCTTCCCTCTGAACGCTCTGCAAGAAAGAAAACAAGAGTTTAAAAAAAGGCTATGATTCATTTACATCATGAATCAGTCATTGAATACAAAACGTCTTGGACAACAAAAGTATATGTGAAGCACCTGGACATGGGAAGGATGGTCCTCTCTTCATGGTAGTCACTGTCACACTCCGTGATGTACTCCCTGAGCACAGTCAAAACCCTAACCATGCGAATGGCCTCCTGCCTGGCACAGTTAATGCTGTCCTTATCCCCGTCCAGCACACACAGCGTGTCATAGGAGGCTTTGAGCCGGTCAAAGCAAGACTGAATAAAATCCTCATGGATCTCTACCTGCAAACAAAGTGAGCTGTTAGCATTTAAAACAAAAACCATAATCTACAGTTATGAAAGAATTTGGGAGCCCTTCGGAGCTTCTGGAATGTGATTACATATTAAATCTTAATCAAAATAACAAAAAAAAAAAAAGATTTAAAACAATCGAGATCAATGAGGAAAAGAGAAAAAAAGGGGGGAAAAGTGTGCAAAACTTTGCACTAGTAGAACTTCTGTTATTGCCAATAACCACAACCTCCACTTTCTGTAGCTATTAATCAGTTTTGTACCATTCCTCTATTTAAAACTACTTCAGTTCAGAATTTTTTTAGATGTTTGTTTTAGATTATGCCTCAGCACTTCCATAAGACAGAGGTCAGGACTCTTACTCTAAACATTACTTCAGTTCACCCCACATCACCCTTATATTTTTCTGCAGCTTGTTTGAAAAATGTATGGCAAGCTAGTCTTTAGGCCCAAGACACAACAATCTGACGTGTGATGAGAAAACAAAATATGTACTGTTATGAATAAACACAGGGGGCAGCACGGTGGTGCACTGGGCAGTGCTTTTACCTCACAGCAAGACCTTTGCATGTTCTCCCCATGTCAAGAGCATATATTCACATTAGACAAGAGTTGATCGCTTTGTTTGAGCAGTCGCTCAAACATACATGAACACTTGATCACTGTAGACAAGTCTTACCTGATTAGCTTGCAATTTTGGTCCGAGGTTTGTGTAAATTTCTTTGAGCAAATCAATTGCTCGGCTAGCGATGTCATCACTTCCCTGAATCACAACCTAAGAAAAACAACAGCAGCACCAATTAAGGGTTTTCCCATAGGATGTTCTGTGAATAACTAGTAACAGGCAGAAGAGTCTTTGAGAATCACAACTGTGGATGCACAGTTATTGATAAATAAGGCAATAAATGTTGTTTCCCAAAAAAAAAAACAAACAAAAAAAAACACACACACACCAAACAAAATATCCTTACCATTACTTAAGTAACCCTCCGCATTATAATGTTTGAAAACTACTAGCCCATGTTTTGTGTGATTAAACCTAGCCTAATAATTCTCCAGTGCTAGAAAAGGAAAATGACAATTTAAGGTAGCACAAAGTCACAGACACATGCTAATCTTTTGAGACAAACAGCTAATTAGCTTAGACGTACAACCACGTCACGCTCAATTCAAATCCAGGAAGAGAATGTTTTTATAAGCTTCATATTAGTTCCCCTCTAATATAAAAATACACAGAGACCATTAACTAGGTCACAGCCCTTTTCCCCCCCAAAACACAATCTATGTTGTGCTTTATGGATAAGGCCTACCATTCAGTTGCCAGGGTAACAAAAGTGCAGATTTATTGTGACTGTATTGGCAGCAGCTGATGTTCAGCCTCATGTGTTTTAGACCAACACGAATGATCATTCCAAACCCTTCAGCATTTCATGAACCAAAGCACGAGAATTTTGCTGTCACCACCATAATCAACAGAAACACTCAAAACACTCCAGAGGCAGTACTATAGTCAAACAACCTAACATGACTTAACTTTTCAATCTCACTGTGGGCTGGGAAAACCCCTTGCTAAGTACATTCCTACAAAAAAAAATCCTCCTGATGCTAATATCTGCTGATGCCCCTCCCCCACACCCCAATGCAGCAAAATAATCTGCAACACCAAAAGGTAAACGCTCCATAGCCAGCGTTTATATGCAGATACTTAGACCACATCTATGCCGTAAGCTTGGCAATACCTACCCTCCACAAGTAATCTAGTCCAATCAACTCCAGATCATCCATCATATACACCCGCCGCTTGGCCACCAGCTTGCCCTCTCTGCAGTTCACTGCTTTAAAGAACCGCTCAAAGCACTTCATGCCGTTTTCAGTCAACAGCGAGGGGTCCAGCTGCAGAACATTGTTTTCAAAGAAGTCCTTGTTGATGTCGGGGTCAAGGTCCGGCTCGTCCCCCATGAGTTTGGAGTACCATTTGAAGCAGGCTTCGCGATCACACAGGAACACAGCATTCTCTGCCAGGCACTTCCAGATCTGCTTGGCCTGAGGAGCACAGAGCCACAGCTGTCCATCCTTCAGTAAGAACCTGTGGACACAACCCAAATCAAAAATGCCAGAAGTCAACTTTACAGCTGATACAAGTAAGTTTTAAGGAATGTTTTTTAGCCAGTAGACAATGCACAAACTATTGAATTGCTAATCCAGAACCTATGAAGCTTGATTTCTACATCTACATCCTTAGCAGTGTGTTATTTAGTGGGGGCGTGGCTAGATCAGCATTAGAACACACATGGCCATCATCTACCGCAAGTCAGCAGCATTGCAATTTTCAGTAAGGATCCACTTTCTGTGGAATTAATACGTTTTTATTCCAAGTTAGTCAATATGCCAATGTGTGCAAGGAAGAAAAGACAGTCTTTATCACACACCGCTGAGACTACGGAAGAAATAACAAGCCCTAACTGCGAGGATCATTTTTACTGAGAAGCTTATGCATGTGTTCAAAACAGCTAAAAAAGGTCAAAAAACGTTTAAAAGGTTGGACCAAATCCAGACCGGAACTTAGCATTTCCATATACACTTGACAGAAAGAGAAAGCCCAAGCTGAGGTAGGCTGTCTGTAACAACTGAGCTAACACTGTGATAAGTTACCTGAAATATATCGAGATAAATTCAGTTTGCGTTCATAGGCTTCCTTCTTAGACTCCCCTGTGCATTTCCCTCTCATACTGCAGCTACATCCTCTCTTCCACCACTTCCAACATGAATTTGGTTAAAAACTGTTTTAAGCTTCAGAATGAAACCTAGTGGATGAGAGTAGATACACTGTTTCTGTTCTGTGTGCGACTCTGAAGCTACTAAGCAACTGAGTGGAGAGTACATAGTCACTGCGGTGATTCCTGGGAGCCAAGTCCTCTCTCTAAAGTCATGGATTTGATAGTTTAAGAACCTCTGATATTACACAGCACCTTGTGATATTAAAAAGAATAGTAAAATGTTCCCCCTTAAAATGGAATTACCTAATTTTTATATTGTGACAAATGCTACAAAAGCAATGTTTCAGTTGCAGGCTTGCTTTTAAATTTATATTCATTAACAAAAAATGAAAAACACTTTATCCTCATACCTCAAAAAGTTCAGACGCTCCTGGACTTCCTGCACATGACTGTATCGACTTCCAGGCCTGACTGTCTGAGGGTCGAAATCTGTGTGCTCTGCTAAATCCACACAGCAGCACATTAACCATGACATACGACAAAAACTACACACACGAGCAACTTCAAAAGTATTTAGTGATGAAGTCTGTAATTAAACAAACAACCAAACACAAACTCAACTCATACTTTTCAAAACTGTGTCATCTTAAAATAACCAACCTTTGGAGAATTGTCTCATGTTCTCCATGTACGCAGACAGGTTTTCAGCCACCAGAGTGACCAGGGCATGATTGTGCTGCAGTTGGTTGATAAGGTCATGCCGATAAAAAACATGTGGACTCCGCTGCGTTTGACTAAAATCAAAGGAGACATAAAATAAAACAAACACACGAAACAACACGAGTCCTGAAGAAACATCAGGACAGTCAGCTGCTTCCTGGGCACAATTTGCCATTTCAAAAGGCAGTATTAAATCAGGAATCTGTTATGTAGTGAGATTTGGATAGAAACCAGCACTTGACAAATGAGCAAATGCAGCACATAAATGTGTCTTTGCCATAGACTGAACCCAAATTCTTTCTTACATGACCAGAGATTGGTAAGGTAATTAAATTAGGCTGGGAAAGAAGAGACCAACAGAGGTATGCTGAAGCTGATTTTTAAAAGCTGTTGCAATTTATGGGGCCAGTTTTTCAGACACACTTTAATTTATCATTATTTAACAGCTAAGAGGATTCTCATTTGAAAGTTCATTTTAGTCTGCAGTTAGCCTTATTCTGAGTCTGAAAAACAGGCCCAAAGATTTACAGAGAAGGCACATATTCCAGCAAAGTTTATAATTAAATGTTATATCCCAAATTAGCTTTACACTTACCCTTCTAAGCTCTTTAAGTTAATAGGTATTTTCTTTCTGAAAAACAATAGCATGTGCACGATGTATTTGCTATATTACTCTTACGATATACTTACTGCATTTACTTATTTTAAATATTTTTAAATATGTTGTCTGACCATTGCATGGGTTATATTCAGATTATTCTTGTATTTGGGCATTTAAAATTGCATACAAACTATGGCTGTCTATTCAGCAATAAAAAAAAAACAAATTAAAATTACTTAGTTCCCTGAATATTCACTAGTTTTTACTAAAATGTTAACAAGGGTTGATGGCTTGTTACATCAGTGGCCATAGCTAATGACAAAGAATAGAACAGGCTCTTTACCTGAGATTTTGAGGAGCCTCTCCAAACAGACTGCAGATCTCTCGAATTTGTTTCAGTGCAGGAATTACCCACTTATCATTGGATCGCAACTCTTCAATAAAGCGATCTATCCACTGGATCTTCTGGGTATCCCTGTCCTGAAAACAAAAATACAAAATTTACACTTAAAGATGTTCAACCCCAATAATTACATAACACTTTTCACAATGTACATTGCCAAAAAGCAGCTTTACAAAGATTCAAGTCACGAGAACGTCTGATGAGAGCAGTAACTTGTACCTGGGAGCAACTGTAGTCCAGGATCTTGATATGAGCACTGAGGGCTTGGTCCATGATGTCCACAGGTACATCATCACTATGGGCCAAGTTCCACAGCAGATTGAGCACTTTGTGAGCCATCACACCATCCTTGTCATCCTCTGCAAGCCTTCTAATCAGTTCCAACAATTTCTCCCGCTGCTTTTTACTCGCATTAGTCCAACTTTCCTGTAAAGCCATGAAATCAGAACTACAATAATATATTGCAGAGATATTATTATAGTCTAGTAAATAACATACTGCATTTACTAGAGTACTATTAACGCAGTTCTTTCATCTTTCATAATTAATCTATAATTAGGGCAGCATAAATATGGGGGCTCTGGGCCATTTTTCATATACGTGTGTGCCAATGACATTACAGAACTATTGATGAGATGTAGAAACTGAGACTACATGTACCTGAATTAGAATTTATTTTCTGAGGACCACAAATGCAGTGAAATGAATAAAATGCAGTCCAGCACCAAATAGTCTACTCTTTCAGAGATCAATAAATATATGAAGTAATGGTCTGAATATCTGCCAAATCTAAATTTGTCCCTTACTGATATTTTTAAGCAGATGCCTGCCAATACCTATATATGCACAATTACTTTCTAAAAAACATTCAAAAGTACCACACAATATGATTTAAAACAGGCTACTCACACTCAACCAAGCTAGATAAGACTCTTGACTTTCTGGTTGTGAATCCTTTTAGATTACATGCACCTTAGCACATTTTTGTAAGTATATCTGTTAAATGACTAAATTTAAGAGTAAATAATGCATGGTTTCAAAAAACAAACCTTAAAACAGTCAAAAAGATGGTCCAGCTGTTCAGGTGAGAAGTCCCATGCCAGCTTCGCAAGGAGATCGTGAACATTCTTCACAATGGCCTCATGCTTCCCAGCCTAAGGAAAAAAAAAATCTTCATTATCCCTTAAACAAATTGACAACTAAGCTGAACTTAAAATGCCAAAGAGCAATAATGTAGACTTACTTATTAGTCATAGTACAATACTTACTCCTTAAGCTACACAGAAAGTATTTGCTCTTTATGCAATGAATTCCTCAGTTTAATATCATGTGGTCATTCTTTAGTTAACACAATTAATGACAGCAAATCATGCAACATTTGACTGAACAGCAGTGCCCTGTCCTTCTCTACCTGGGCAGCCCAAATGTTGTCCAGGTCCTGCAGTGTAAGGGCCTTCTCCTTGATGACAAATCGTAGGATCTTCTCTAGTTTCTCCACATACTGTGGCTGATGTAGGCTGTCCCGCAGTACAATGGACAAAATGTTATTCTGTTGAATCCACTCCTGGAAGATAAAGACTCAAGTTCAGCTTGCAGACCAGACATATTCAACATTAAGTGTGTCTGTTAAGGCTATTAAATTCCCAACCACAAAAAAATTCAAAGCAAACAAACAAATATGGTTAACACTTTCAGTATTTTCACTCGTTTTTCAAAGTCTGTAAACATTCAACAAGCACAACTTACTGCCATGCGCTCTGCAGTGAGCCACTCTGCCTCCTCAGGGTTACCGTGGCGATGCGTGTAGTACGAGACACTAGAGATCACCTTATTTACTTCATTTAGTGCATTCATTTTGCCATTAAAAGAAGAAATTTGCAATAACCTGTGGTTAATAAGAAAAACAGTTAAAATCTTGCATTTACATTATGAAACCTTCTAGATTCAGAATTTGTCCAATTAAATTTCTAAATTTCTCACCTAAGAATCATTTTTAACCTAAAAATCTCCATGTTCTTCACTGTTTCCTCTTGTCCAGGTACTCGTGAAGCCAGATTCTTCAATGATTTGATTATCATAGACAAAGCATCATTTTTGGCTTCATTCTTGGCTTCCTTTTTCAACTCTTCATCAGTGAGGTTTTCTAGAAACTGGGGAACCATTTCAATAATGGGAAGGAAGTACTTCTTCACCGTGTGCAAAGTGAGAAACTCATAGCACTGCCCAAAAGGCCTGAAAAGGAAAAAAAGACACAATAAACGAATAAATAAATCAATGTTTAGCCAAGAGAATTCAGATATTTTAGATATGAATAGCGGTTTCTTCAACAAGTTTCTTAAGTGTCGTTACTTGATGAGTGCAGCAATGATCTGAACATTCAGAGCTTGACCACTCATGAACCGATCGTGCAGAATTTGAAACCCGTTTAATGTGCCAAATTTGTTTATTAAATCCACCAACCAGCCCTGCAGGGAAAAACAAACAAACAAACAAATAAATAAATAAATGCACAGCAGCCTTGGAACATCAACAACCTTGCATTAACGAAATAAAAAAACAAAGAAAACAAAACACTAACAAAACCTATAAAACTATTATCCTTAAATCCTTATAATCCTTAAATTAAACTCTACAGATTTTTCACAATTTCTGTATAATTCATTGTTTGAGATGTAGACAAAGTCTAAAGTCATTCAGAGGTAGTTTGATGTAAAATGGTGCACTGTAGAGAAACTTGGTGCCTCTGATTTCTTTACAATAGTGATGACAGGAACCATGGGTTGTGATGTCTACAACTATATAGTCATAGTCAATACAGTCATTTTATTTACTTTCCAAAATGACCAGTGGACCTATTGCATTTAACAGCCCTACATGTACCTCTCCAACAGGAGGTTGCAGGGAGAGTAAGGGAGATTTTAGAGACATTAAAAGCTCTTCAGGCATCTAGTTCCTATCATCACCAAGATAAACAGTTCTTACTCTAGAATGACACATTTCATCTCAAAACACTCCAAATAACTTTTGCTTATATCTTAAGCGTTTAATTATGCAGTGATTAAGAAAACGATGGAATTCCCCTTTAAGCAAAATACAGTCTCTTACCTTGGGAGAGCGAGGGTCAGGTGGGCGGGCATAAAGCTCGTCTTCAGCCAGCTGCACCCCAGCAGGCACCGTCTCTGAGGGCCGGGTACCATTGTATATGTGAAATTTGCAATGAGGGTTGGTGGCCATTGCCAAGAGCTCAAGAAGAGGGAACCAGTCCTGAGAGAGCTTGGTCACACACAACTCTATCAGACGATGGGTGTTGTTGATTATGCACCTCTATGGGGACAAAAAACAAATTGGGCATAGATAGGTCAGTAACATAATGACATCTGTGGAATGTAAGGGTAGATGTAATGACTCCTCAAATGGCGAAGATTGGCACTACCGTGAGAAATGCTTATCTTAATTTGGACAATTGTGTGGAGCTAAAAAGAGCTGCCGCCTCTTAAGAGGGGGGTGAGTCAGAGCTGTCTCCCACTGTTGGCACATCGTCCCCGGCTTTACTGAAAGGGGGCCTTTGATCAGTGCTGGGGTGGTTTAATGAAACAGGCAAACAAGCCTAGCACTGAAAATAACATTGATTCCACAGCTCAGCTGCCTAATGAAAAACTCAATTCATCAAACGATCGCGAGGCAATGTATCATCTGCCAGGCATCAAAACAGAATTGTCCACACTAGTTAGACGATATACTGACTAAATAATGACTAAATTCAGATCGTGGAACTCACGTGGATCTCAAACTTCCATCCACTAACAGCCTCGTCCGTCAATATTTTCGTGAAGGATATTGTCAGGCCATCACGGAAAAATCTCTGGCAGGCTTCACACTTGACATCAAGTCCTTGGGACAGAATGTAAAGAAAAATCTATTAAAGGCTGACATTTGCAGACACTGTAAGGCATGTGTCTAAAAGCTAAAGCGAAACTATTATTAAGGCTGCCAAAAGCACTCATATAAGCTTAATAAGCCTAGTCAGCCCTGACAGATAAAGAAGACTCTTTAGACACAATAAATAAATTAATAAATACATAAATAAATACATAAATAAATAAATAAATAAAATAAATAGATAGACAAATAAAATTCAGTGCTGAGCAAAAGTAATGGGTACATTAGAAAATTAGATTTAAAAAGCTATTTATCTGAACAGTAAGCATTTACTCAAAAACTAATAATAGAATAAAATACAAATAACATTCATCCAATAACTAGTGTTTTTCTTGTCAATGTGTTCATTTACCCTTTTCTCTCCTCTCTGCAGCCCAAAAATACTTGTAGTTACCATTCAGTATCTAATTCTGTTGCCCAAAACTTTCTTAGCAGTACAGTACAGTATATACTTCAAATAATTTAGGACTCTTTGTTTTACCTTTTTTAGAAAGATCTATAGCAGCTTCTAGAAGAACTTCTAATTCACCCTTTGGCAAAACTGGAACAACCCAGCGGGGTCTGGAGACACAAAAACACCACTGTAAGCAAATGTACTGCTATACATTAACACATCTACCCACTATGAATGCATAAAGACAAACTAAATGGAATCAAATGTTTAATAAATGTACCTGTTAATCATGTCATCCAGCTTGGCCAGGTCTGCATGGGGGAAAGCAGGCTCCTCCTCCTCCAGCTGGGGTGGGCAGTCTCCCTGTCCCTGTTCATCTGGAGGGCTCACGGGAGAGTTCTCATTGGACGAGGTGGGAGAGGATGTCTGGGACACACATTTCAGGGAATCAGACACTATAAACTGACAACGTGGTGTTTTTGCATCAAAAACAGTCATAATTTGTTTTACATAACCATTTTTACCTCTTTTACACTTAGAATTAAACACACTGTTTTTGTTACTGTCCCTTTAAAACTGATAAACGCAAATGACCTCTGATTGCCTGCCTGCTGCGCCTCAATCAAATAGCAGTCCAGGCTGAATCACTAAATGTTAACGGGCAGAAATAAAATACTGCAGTTTGACTAGGTGGCCATAAGTAAATGCAATGATTTTCATGACATTGGAAAAATTAAGCATAAATAGAAAAAAAACACAAGTGACCTTAGTGGTGTACTCTGGATTAGTTAATTTAATGTTCGTTTAACAGTTTTTTTTAAATACCTAAGAAGAGGCTCAAGCTGTCATTTAAATGCTAAGGCAAAAGCTTAATCCTGCTCATCCATGCGTATGGCAATAAAAACCTGAGTCTTAAAAAGCATTTATAAACAAACATCTTTGTTAACAGCTGAACATGTCACCAGTGCAACTTTGTCATGCTTTATGACAAAGATAATTTTATATGGATACTTCAAAATTTGACAGGAGGTAGACATTTGTGGGTGCATACACGCAAAATAATGACACTAGCGAACAAACTGCAGAGAGGACATAACATTTTCACAACAAACGGACCATGTTAAAACAAATCCATACCATACAAAAAATTTGGGTTTAACTTTCTAAATTTCTAAACCTTTTTCGAAATCAAAGATTAAAGGCGCAGTGTGTAAACGCTGTAATGTTTACAAATGTACCATTCACACCCATGTCCAGGCAGTCCATATATGAAAATGAAGCTGCAAAAAAGGCCAATTTGAATCAATTTTTTTTGTAATTGTTTTTGTGATGTCATGAAAACCACAAGACTTGGCTTACTGCAGTTTACCTCGCCACATTCATGCTTAAGTTATAAGCAATGTTTCAGCTCGGGCTGCTTTTTAAATGAAGCACGATACAGGACAGTCAGCTAGAACAGAGATCATTTACATATATCAGTCTTAAAGGCTGCTGAATTTTTATTCATGTATTTGTAATGCTAAGAATGATAAGAGCAATGCTGTCTCTTCACCATGACCGTGTTGTGAAAATATATATTACAGCAAAACCTTTTTTCAAAACTATAGTAATACATTGTCTCAAACACCAGGTAACATTTTTAACCATTTCATGTTATAACTAAGCGAGGGCACTGAACACGTCAGACATCTGGTTCCCAACACCACCACTGTGAACAAATCTGACTTGGTAAGTTTCAAGAACAGCTCATTTCACATCACTCAAACCACTCTGAATGACTATTTAAATCTTAATGATGTAATTATGCTGAAATTTATTAAATCAGTGGCATTCCCCTTTAAAAGCACAGTAACAAAAATAGCCTGTAAAATTTAAAGGGATAGAGAGGTTGAAAAATATTCATGTAAATTACATTAATACTGATTTGGTTTCCTAGACGCAAACAAATATCATAAACAGGAATCACAGAAAAAAATAACGTAATGCAAAATGTAGAACACAGGACCTTTAAATTGCTGTCTGTTACTGGCATATTATCTGTACATGCGTATGCTCAATTACTAATCCCAAGGCTATAACAGCACAGAGACCCAGAGAGTGAGAAAAAAGATGCTCCTGTATGGCTTCCTGTGACATGGTAAGGGTTGAATGTGTGGATCAGAGTTGAATGGAAGCTGCAGAACTTCGGAAATGTGGGGGTGTGCTGGGAAAAAAAAAAGGATCCTTCTGCTTGGCTGACCTACATATGCAGTTTGCTTCTCACGTCTGGGCTCTACACATCTCACACCAACTGGTGCGCTTTTCATTCATTGATCTGTCCCTTTCAGCATGCACTAGGTGTGAGCACTGGCAGCTGCACTTTACATCCCAGGAGCCCATAGCAGTTCCCTTCCGCAACATAGCTAATCAAAGTGCCCCTCTCATGTCATTACACTGGCATGTCTGAGTTCTGTAGTTACTGAAGAACGACAACGGACACACAGTTAGCAACCCCTCGCATACTGACTCCAGTCCAATGCTGCGAGCATCTGAAGCTGGTACTGGGATCTTTGTGGCAGCCCCGCATCTGTCACGATCATGCTCTCTTTGCCTTCACTGAGTGCTTGCTTCATATTCAAGTACATTAATAATTCCTAACTGTGCAAAATCAAACAATAAGCCTGCAGCATAATTCTTGACTCAATTAATATAAAATACACTACAGAAAATAATACTGGTCAGAACATACATTTTAAAAAAGAAGAAGAAAAAAAAGTTTGATTTCCGTGACGTTTTTAATAAATCACAAATTAAATGGACCAAGATGTAAACAGTCTGATTACAAGTCCTTTGATGTGAAATGCTCCACTCTAGACAAAATTAAGAGACCAGAATTGTTCTCAGTGCTGACAACAGGAACCATACATCTGAAGCGTTTAATCCTATTAATAGGGAGCATGCAGAAAGTCATTACATGAAATGGTTACGAACACGCTGCCTGGTGCCCGAGATATTGTTTACAATAGTTTTGTCTTATGGTTTTGGCCTAAAACATATTTTTAAAATATATTCATTCATGGTTGAGAGATACATGAAGGATGTTGTAAGGTAAACTAGTACCCAAACAATATAATTTTTACACACACACACATACATATATATATATATATATATATATATATATATATATAAATAAATAAAATACACACCACATACCACAATTTTACCATTCTTAACATGTTCCCCATGCAGAAATTGAAAATTGGTGGAATTACCTTTCAATAATATAAACTACTCTTCAATGCTAGGGAAAAACTAGGCCCACAGCCCACATTATCAACATTTTTTCCCCTATGAGGTCCAATAACAGTCCGTCTAACAGTAATTCATATTTACATGACCATGGGCAAGGCTAAACTGCTGTAGGCTAAATAAGTGGGCGTATGTAAATGTAATGGTTTGTGTGATATTACAAACACACTAAGTTAAGCTGTTTTTGCAGCTTAGTTTCCACATATGGACTGTATGGACTGGGAAGCGAACGATATGCTTTGAAACTTTATCAAATGTTTGCATAATACATCAAACATCAAACTCTCATCAAAAAAAATAAGTGAGGAAAATTTTGTTTTTCATTAAGCCCTTCAAAATAAGCAAATCACTCACTATATCTTCCCTAAGCCATTTTTATATTTTTTTTGTGCTGTAAAAGGAAAACAAGCCTTAGAAATAGGCTAAAATGGGGACAGGCTTTAGTCACTATGAGAAATGCACTCTAGTGGAACACATGGAGTAGAGTGACACAAAGTGGGCCACTGACCTGGTTTTGGGGCAGTGGAGGCTGGGACTGACCGTCCGGAGCTTGGCCCTGGTCCTGGCTGTCATTCCCCCCTACGGGGGAGCCACGCGTCGTGGCAGTCATACTCGACACAGGGCAGATCTTTGCAATCTTGTCTGCTTATGTTGCTGGCGTGCAGGAGAAAATCACTGCCTCCTCTGGACTGATGGAGAACCGGCACACATCTGAAAGTGAAAGCACCACCTGGAGAACTGGACGTGCTGCAGAGACCATTGCATAACCTGAAACACAAGGATTCAAATCAATCAGTACATATGTACTGTAGAAGATACCATGAATTACCAATGTTTGTTTTCATGTCTGGTTTAGACATGTACCTCTTCACGCTCTACTAATTAACATAAAGGTGGGTTATCTTGAGAGCAGGACAAAACTGTGTGATAACATGTACACATATCACCGATTAGCCAGTAAACATACAGCGGTAACATGACACATAAGCTGAAACATAAGTATCCAGGCTCAGCAGCACAAAAGGACCAATGAGTCTACAGCTTCTAGACTACAAACATATACAGATAAGACCGACAGAACAACACTATCATCTTAACAGCTTACAAGCTTTGAGAAAGATGAGAAAATGAAATAAGATGCATTAAAGTTTGTGGATATATTTAGACATGCTGAGTACAGCAGACTGTCAGGAACTGAATGAAGCATTCAAATGAAGCAACTCATAGTGACTGACCGTGCAACGCCACAAAAAGAAATCCCACAACAGCTGTCTTTTGTGCCTTGTCTGAACATTCCCTCTGCAAAAATGCCTCTCAATCTGGTAGAACAAGATAGTTGTGGCTTTAAGTATGAGCTCTGAAAGTGTGTGACCTCAAATGAGTTAAACTTCCCTAATGGTTACAGGGAAATGCAGGCACCAAGCGTACAGGCTAGACGACGTAGCATTTCACGTTCATTGGCCACTAATAAAAAGAACAGTCATTTCAGCCTAAAATGATTAGTCACTTTGTGAAATTAACAGGTTAGATTCTCATCTCTTATTCTTATCTGCCACGGGAGGTCAAACTTACAGGAATGCTTGAGTCATATGTTTAGTTTGTATGGAGAGTCTGCCATGCGTTTCCACTTCCAGCATTTTAATGCTTTCCTATTCTTCAGATAAGAAACACTAAGAGACACTGACAATTACAGTATATTATTCATTTCTTATTTGTTTCTAGATTAGTATATATTTATTAAGTGCAGCGTCAAGAGAAAGGTGAGAATTTAATCTGGAGCCTATTAACTGCACAAGTTTAAAAAAAAAAAATAATTGACAGTAGTGATTTGCATAATTTCAAGTCAGTGTCAAAAGGATACATGACTAGATTTCCATTACAAATGTGTCTCAGTGCGGCATTCATCTTAAATTGGGCATAAAAATATTAATACATTAAATCTATGAAGGGTGTAATAAACTGTTACAGACAATTATAACAAGCCAACATGTTTAAAGACATTAGAACATGTGGCATCAATGCAACACATTTTGAAACACGTTTCTGTTTAAAGAAAAAAGAAGGAAACAAGGGCAGAGGTCAGATTACAGAACGTAGTAGCCAACCAAGCAGCAGTCAGTACCAGATTTGGTGGCCATAAACTTGAAACTTATGCACTCCACATACTAAACGGCTAAATCACAGATAACAGACATTCCATTGTGTTTTATAAGTTGAACATAATATCATATTTACAGCAGAGACACTACCAACAAAAAGTCAATACTTCACTGCTTAAAAAACTCTAAATTACTCACAGTGTAGAAAACTATGCAAAGATCACCAAACTTTTAAAGACAACAAAACATAAGGCCGTTCCCTAAAACTGTGAATGCTTTTCACATGAGTCGACTAATGTTACAAAGACTTTATATCTTATATTTCAAAATAGGCTTAACTGGCTTCTAAGGATTGGAATTATCATAATGTAATTTGATACAGGTACTTTATCACAGCTCGGTTTCATCAAGTTTTTTTAACGTATTCCACATGTCATTCCATGGTATCCATGGTAAATATTCCCCAAAAGACAGATGAAGCAAAAAACTAAAACTACATGGGCAACAAAAGGGGACATACATTCTAAATGCAGAATATATACAATATTGTACGTTGCTGTACCTCTAATTATGTATAAGAGTTGGACTGCAAACTCACACCAAACAAAAACAATCAATCCCTGATTACACATTTCAAAAGTGCAACAAATGCTTCAGAAGTTGATTCATTTGAAGTATGTGCTTTAACTAGCTGTAATGAATAAATAAGGTCGATAGTAGTAATGTTATGAGTTGCATCATGATTGCTGAAATTACTAACTGTGTGAATTTCTTGCAAAGCATGCAAACTACAAGAAACGTTTTAAGAGCAAGTCACTTCCACTGATGGTGAAGCCATTCTTGTTCTCTTCCAAAAATGTTATATTTTCACCATACTAAGTGAAAATGTCTGATTGCTCACTGATGACTTGGGTTTGATCCCAGCTATTTGTTAAAGGAAGTGTTACGTTTAGCATATAAAGATGCAACTTGTTCAACTTCACTATACTGGCCTGTGCAGTATGGATACTGAAATAGGCTCCACTTCATTAAATTCCTGGTTTTCCACAGAGGCTGACACACACATACCTTGCAACATCTTGATATTGATGCTGAGCAGGGCTCAAAGTGACTGGGTGAAAAGGAAGATAAGCTGTGAATGTCCTACAGGAGTAAATCTTGCATAAGCATGTATTAACTGCTTTCATCAGATCCATTTTAACATACGTGCCTACATGGCACAACACACAGATCCGCCAAGTTGGTCAGCATGCTTCCAGTTGACACACAAATAGTTAGCCAACAGCTATAAAACGATTAAATAGTACAACGGACAATAAATAGCTATTTGGTTAATCATGCAGCCACTGCACTGTAGAATGATAATATAAGCCCGTGCAATTTATCGAAACAATGCACATACGTCCACTTAGCTGCACGAATTTACATTGTCATGCCAATCAACCAAACCTCACGTTTTCGTGGTTTATTAAAACAAACTCGACGAATTGTGCGCGGATAGCAAAACACACTGAACACCCGTTCTGACATTACCTGTGTGAGCTAACGCTAGGCAGTGAGTGGCTCGACTGCTGTCAGCTCAAAGTTAGCTAGGTTAGCTAGCCAGCAAGGAATAAACAAAGCCACTAAGTTAACTAGGTGATTCTGAAAAACAAGTCCCTTATAAGCGACGCATATACAAAACAAGATTATAAATTAACATACCTGCCAAGCGTTACGTTATTTGATGGGTATTAATACTATTACAAATAGCTGACTTAGCGGCAAGCATATCAAATTCTTCAGTCCCTGCTTCGCTAGCTAACGTTAGGTAGCCTAATCTACCAAACTAGTCAACTATGTAAATACAAATAATTGTTCTTTCAGCTAAACATGAACATGATGGCAATCCAGTTTTCCTGTTAGTTAGGTATTCGACTTAAATCATTTTGAAGGCAGCTAACGACAACAAGCAAGAAATGTTCGGGCCTAAGGCTATACGGCCTGCTAGCCAGAGCCAAACCCAGCTGTGAGTCTGGCTGTTAACCAACGTTACCTAGGTTAACTGTTCTCTGTGCTTACTTAGACATTCGTTTGACTGAATTGGTGTTTCTTCATTTATATAGCCGATATTTATGGTACACTCTGGGGGCAGAATTCTGCTTAACTGCAAACGGCCAACAGAGCTAACAGCTATAGTGGCTTTTAAAGAGACACTTAACAGCCAGCTGGGTTACCCACAGTTAGCAGGCTAACCTGCTGACTTCGTTAGAAGAGAAGAGCTGGATGAAGCCTGACAGAGAAGCTGATATTATTTCCAAACAAGCTATATTATTCATTATCATGCATTTAGCTACATGTATAAGAAAGTGGAGAAAGGGGGACAATCAACCATCTAGCTAACACAAGTCCTGTCAAAAAAAGGCCTCAGTCAGACCGCTTGTTTGGGTTTTCGGCTATCACAAAACCCAAGCTAGCTAACCAGCCAGCTAACTATATTGTTAGCTCGCTACCCTCTTTGTACGAATAATAACGCTGTTTAAGTTGTTTTGCGTGTAGTTAGCTAGCTAGCTACCAGTGAACCAGTCCACTAGAGTAGGTAAACTGGTTTGGAGGAGTTAAACGACAAAAGGTTGGCAATGTATGTGATGACAAATGGTGAGTCTGAACTCTACAATGACAGGAATTCAGCAGCTAGCTTAGCTAAGCAGTCTGCATTGACTGATAACGAAAGCTCATTTAGCTGTAGCCTCCGAGCTAATGGTAGCTTCCAAGCTACAAACACAGACAGACTGAGCCTCACCACTCACCACTAAAATCACATTGGACCGTCTTCCTTTCGACTGCAGGCTTGATCAGTAACGCGCTGGTAAACGCTCGGCTGTGTCGGGTACATATATCTCGCTCTCTGCTCACACTCAGTGATTAGCTCCTTGGTTTTTTGTCTGCTGTTGGGTGTTTTTCCTGCGTCACCAGCAGCGCTGCCGCCCCCCCTAAACTCTCTCTGCTCGGCTCGGGCTGAGCTCCTGCTTCAGTTCCCATAAGTCGGAGGGTGATCCACTGGGCATGCGCACTGAGTCTCCATCGTTCAGAAATCACCGGACTTCACCAGAGAACCATATAAACCAAAACCAAAAGCACAGATCACACACGATCACACTGCCGTTACACGGTATTGGTAAAATTCAATATCTCGTATATTAATTAAGTTCTAACATTAAATGTTAATATTATACCGACATAGCCAATATATCACCCAGCACCACTGGCTACTTGAAAATGTTTCATTCAAATATCAAAATAAAATTAAATACAAAACCAAGCTATAATTCTAAAAATAATCTAATAGGATTCTTTAGTGAAGAAAGTTGTTATTATAAAACCATACAACCATGACAACTCAAAGTTGACACTGAATGCTTAAATGGTTATTTGCATGATTAAATAAAAGAACCTTTTAAAACAGGGTTTTGCTATTGATACAAGTTATATAATTATTTTACTACTACACAGACACATTTGACGCATAGAATAACAAATAATAAAAAAATCACTTGCAAAGATGTTGTGCTATTCTAAATAAAGAAACAGAAAATGACTTCTATTCTACTTCTATTCTTCTATTCTTGTTCTATTATTGGACAAGATCCATTAGCCTTTTTGACTTTTTGATATTTTGAGTCAGTGCCTTTGAACATCACCCAACAAGGCTTTAAATGGTATGTACCATGGTGTGAAAGGTTGGGAGGACAAACAAATTGAAAGAAAACAAATTCTTTAATGAATATTAACCATTAATGCTTTAAAACAAACAAATAAACAAACTCTTTAAATCTTTTAGCTTGAAGGTGAAGAATATGTGATAGCGTATTTATGTTTCATGCAATCTAGTTAAAAGCGCTTTTCTGAGAATCTGTCATATTCAAACACGATGATGATCGGGAGAAACACTGATAAAACCCATATGTCAAATTTAATTTGTGTTACTGAAGTGTGGTGACATTATGCACCAGTTTGTTAAAACCCCGAAGAATGCTAGTTAACCAATTATTAACTCTTATAAAAACTTTCTTTCTCAAAGATTAACTGAGGGGAAATTGTTTAACTGGTTTTCAATAAATAATCATTTGATTTGTCCCCCATATGTTTATTACATATTATTTATTCATTGTTTCATTTTGTATTATACCTTTATGTTCATTATTCAACAAAATTCAGGTCATTAGTTTGATTTTGAGTATCTCAAACTTAATTTATATACTTTGCCTTATTTGTATGTTAAAAATCTCAGATGTCTAAGGTAATAGACCATTGGTTTTGCAAAATAAAGGTTTCTAAATTACATTTTCGTCTAGATTGTGATTTATGTATTTAAAATATAAAACACATATACACACATATATGTTGCTTTAGACTTTACGTGCTGTTAAGTTACGTTATTATGTTCTTATCGACCTGCGCTTTGAGACTCATTAAATCCGCAAAACGCCGCCGTAGCCTCAGAGCTTTTATTTTGAAATACGAAAGACGGATGGGGAAAGTCTTGCTGTACTCGGTTTCACACACTGTTCGGTGGTGATGGCGGTCAGCAGCAGTGGACGTTTTTCACAGCTAATTCCGCAGCAGATTTAGAGCAGCTTTCCATGGGGTGAAAGTATTTTAGAGCCAGAAACACCCGAACTCATCCTTTCTTGTTCTGAAAAGCGCCTTTAGAGGAGGAGCTGCTCGGCTCGGTTCAGCTCTGCTCGGCTCTGCGCCGCTCGGTTGGTGAAAATGGCTCCGGTGCAGATCGGCTCAGATGGCCAGCTGGTGCCCGTCGGGGCTCAGACTTCAGCGCCGCAGCCTCCTCCTGCCGCCCCGGCCACTCAAGGGGTCCGGCTGAGTGTTTTAATAGAGTTCCTGCTCCAGCGGACCTACCATGAAATAACGCTGCTGGCGGAACTGTGAGTTGTTTACGTGCTAGCCAAGCTAACTTACTCGCTCTTCTTCAATGAATAGACGTAACGGGCTAGCTTTAATGCTAGCTAACTGATCTCCGTTCATACTGCCTATCTAGCTAGCCAGGTTAACCGTTAGCTAAGTAAGTTAACGTTGTTGAGGCCCTGTAGATTTCCTAGATCCCCTATTCATAAATATATACAGTTTCTTATCATGCATATAATTAAACATTGTAGATATACTTTGGGCTAAGTAGCTAGCTAGCTAGCTTAGCTATAGCCTGTCAGTAGCGAAAGTAGAGGTAATGCTCAATTACAAGTAACGTTACGCTCCTATTTAACTCATAGTGCCCCGTTTGAGGTCATTATTTCATGTTTAGTGAGGTGCAGCTTGGCTAGGTGTGATTTTGAGCCTTGTGGCGTTGCTGACTCACATTTAAACAAGCTACTGTTACCATCAGTGTCATAATTTGCCAGCACCTAACACAGCGAGGGAGAATGTATATCCTGGGTGTTAAAGTTGCCTGTATTTAAAATTGTGTTCAGCATTACAATTACACTGCAATAATCATGCTCTGTTGTTCGTGTAAAGTTAATGTCATTTCAGGCTCTGCAAACTGCAATAAAAAAGATCCCTATTCGTTGATTCACTGATTTTTAGATTCAGTTATGATTTAGAGCTTGTAATGTTGTGGAAGGATAATATATGATGCCTTGATGTGTGATTTGTGCGTGGTAGGTAATGTGTTTCAAATATATCAACTCTTGTTCTTTTCACAGACTTCCACGGAAAACAGACATGGAAAGGTGAGTAGCAGCCAATAGGGCATTTAAAAGAACTCTAGGTGTGCACTTGTGTCATGGGATGCATTCCAGTAGCACAGGATTGTGGATCTAACTATTTTAAGGGCTTGCTTGAACTACATTAATTCTGTTTTCATGTGGTTTGTGAATGAGAATGCAGGATCGTGAAAATGCAAATAATAGTTACGTTGATGTGTTGTTTCCTCTTGCTTCTAACAGGAAAATTGAAATAGTCCAGTTTGCCAGTCGGACACGGCAGCTCTTTGTGCGACTGCTTGCTCTTGTAAAATGGGCAAGCAATGCTGGAAAAGTGGAGAAGTGTGCGGTATGTTTTATTCAGAAAATTTCTGTTCCTTAATCAGAGCTCAAGGTAGAGCTCAATGGTGTAGTAAGACTGTACTGCATAATCTGCAAGTAATTTCTGTTGTTCAATAGGTTATTTACTGGATCCTCACTTTTCTTTCTGCTTGCAGATGATTTCCGCATTTCTGGACCAGCAGGCTTTCTTGTTTGTTGACACAGCAGACCGACTGGCATCACTGGCCCGGGATGCCTTGGTTCATGCCCGCCTGCCCAGCTTCGCCATCCCCTTTGCCATCGATGTTCTGACAACAGGGTCTTACCCACGTCTTCCCACATGCATCCGGGTAGGTGGTGAATCATGACTGATGGCTCAAATCTGGAACCCGAGCTGCTGTGCCATGGCAGATTAGTTTTATATGGGTTGTTTTTAATAAGAGAAACTAGCCAATGTATTGCCAGGAATCATGGGTTACTTGTAAGCAGCAAATAGGGCTGGGCGATATGGGAAAAAATGTAAAATGTTAAGTTTAATATTTTTTAAGTTCAATATATTTTAGTCTTTAAAAAAAAGTCTGAATATTTATTCATTCTCTCTGAAAATATCTAGACAGATATTGTTGAGGAGGCAGGGTGGTGGGCAGGTCTGTTTCCTGCGTCAGCAGTACACCACCTGAACGCGTGTTCAGTGTGTACAGAATAAAAGGAGCTGAAAATGCAGACTGCAGGCTGCTCCTTATTCTGACAAACTTAGGGTCCTCTTTCAGCACCTTTCCCTAGTAACCTTATTAAGCATAGCTGGTTATGTGATAATACCACATTACCTCCAATGCCTGCTTAAACTTAGAGAAAATAAACATGCCTTCTAGATAGACAGCAGTGTGCTGTTTTGCTTTGTCTTTTTTGTTTTTGTTAGCTCATGTAATCTCAGTGTAAACATTTTTTAAATCCCCAGTCCATGTTTCACACACGGAAAGGCTTCTGCACAGGTTTATCAGATAATTGAACATGACAACAGATAGGGGGAAAAACAATCTATCTCATGTTGCTACAGCTATATGTTCTAGTGCCACACAACATATCAGGGCTGATTCAGTACGTGAACAAATGTTGTACGTTATAAGAAAACCTGTTAAAAAAAACTGATAGTAAGACAAAAATAATTTCTATTATCCATCTTAAAGCGGCGGACGGCGTGAATTAGGACATGTAAAAGATCTAACTTGATTGGCAGTGATGGTAGATGGAAACTATAGGTGATTGGCGATGCTATCGCCAATCAGCACAAGCTTAAGGATCGAGTGATTGCCATGGTCTTCACTCAGCTACCTGCATAAATGCGCATTAAGATCACTGCCCTGTTCAGTGTTGTCTACTTTTGAAACTTTTAATAGAATAATGGCACATACAGTAAATATTTGCAGCGTTGCCCAGCCCTAACAGCTAAGGGTGTAAATGTTTTGTTCTGTTAGTACTTGCTGTTATTTTTAATTAATTTATTTAATTTTTTGGACCTTTTAAAGTTATAATACAGTCTAAAGTTTGGTGTGTTTCATCTCAGGACAAAATAATTCCTCCAGACCCTATCACCAAAGCAGAGAAGCAGACTACACTAAACCAGTTGAATCAGATTCTTCGGCATCGGCTTGTCACCACAGACCTGCCCCCTCAGCTGGCTAATCTGACTGTGGGTAGGTATTTGGTCTCACATTGTCTTGCTGGCCAAGTCAGACTCTTTTTGGAAGTATCAAAGGCTACCATGCGTTGAGTGTGAGACAAAACCTTTATTGAGCTTGTGCCCTTGTTTCTTACGCATATTAAGCCAATGGGCGGGTGAAGTTCCGGGTGGACGGTGAATTTGAAGCCACGTTAACAGTGATGGGGGATGACCCAGACATTCCCTGGAGGTTGCTGAAGCTGGAGATTCTGGTTGAGGACAAAGAGACAGGGGGTGTGTATATGTACACTCTGTGGGTTTCTTGGTGTGAGTTGGCTGCATATT